TGAACAAATCAGTTGAATTAATAATTAATCATAAATTCACTTACTTGCCACCACCTACGAAGTAACCAGTAGAAAAACACCCACAACTAATGAACAGACTGTCTGGAACACACAAACATAGACATGCTAAGTGATTTAAACAATGAAAACTCCCAGCGCTGTTAGATTCTATCAACGCGCTTGAAACGCTGCTCAGCCAATCATATTTGAGAATTAGAACTAACTACTGAATAATAATATATATACTGTATTCTTTAAGTTTGAGTCTCAAAAATGGGAAACCTCATGGTTTTCAATTTGGAAAAACAAATAACTTGTTTTTATAGAGGCTGATTGGCCTCCAAAGTACATAATAATACTACTGACTTATATTCCAGCCAGAGGGCAGTTGGCCAACCACAATTCTGTAAGGACAGGATATTGGGTCAGACACTTCAACTCGCATCCAGCATGCAGGAGAAAACAGAGCTCTCTGTCATGCTAAAACGAACCACATGAACCAAACTCACTCTTTGACTTTAGAAAAGGGCATGACAATAGACAAAGAGCAAACCTCAGACAAGAATGTCATTTTGACTAACCTAAATGATAGTGTGGACAGCTCTAGTCACTGCATCTGATTTGGCTAAATGTTCATGTTGTTTATGCACTGCTGTCATTAATGACTTTGGCCCTGCTTGTTTACAAGTAATCTGTCATGGCATATCAGCCTCTGCTACGATCATGGCAACTGAGGTCTGTGTGAAATGAATCATGGGTGACACCAAAAAAGCAGCACTGGAAGTCAGAACAGCAGCTGATGCTTGACGAATTCGAATCCAGTTCCAACAGGTTCAAGCAAGGCCTCCATCCCAGCTGGGGGCTGGAAACCTCACTCGTGTACATTCTTTGGTCATCCACAATGATTCGTGATCTATCCTTATTCTGACAATAATCACATGCTCTCTACCAGTAACCTTTTCTCTCTCACTAATTGTCTTCTCTTAAAGGGTTTTCATGATTTTTGAAGGAGAGTGTGTGGTGAAACTGCACAGTCACTCTCTCAAGGACCCATCAAATGCCCACATACCCCTCTGTACATAGTGTACATGGTTACTGAGGTTTTATTTAAATTTTATTTCACAATGAAGAGCATTTGTGAGTCCATAGGGACGCTGAACTTGGCATTTCGCAGGGCGAAATGTCGCTTCTCAAGCTTCCTGGGAGGAATTAAATAGGTTTGGTTACATATCATTTTCAGCCATGGGAAGAAAATAAATCATACATTTACCAGAATATCGATATGAAAACAAGGAACGACGAACAAAATAAAACAAGCCGATGTTTAAATAGAGTTCGGAATGGTCAGCATGGTGTTGTGCCACGGGAGTGCTAAATGTCAAGTTTCTGTTTATACATGCTAGTTGTAATTTGAAAAGCGCTAGAGGACAGTGTTTGGGTAAAGTCCAGCTTGAAAGAATAATATGATAGACAATGACATTGTATAATGATAGAATATGAGAATATGATAGACAATGACACTCTTCATCCCTCCATCCAAATCCGCGAAAAGCACAACGTGGAAGACGTTCTCGTTTTAAAAGACTCGCTCTCAAACATTACCATAATAACCATCAAATCTCAGCCAAATTCATAACATTTGTGACCCTGGACCACAAAACCAGTCTTAAGTGTCAATTTTTCTGAAAAAAGCTGAATAAATAAGATTTCCATTGATGTATGGTTTGTTAGGATAGGACAACATTTGGTCGAGATACAACTATTTGAATATCTGGAATATGAGGGTGCAAAAAAATCTAAATACTGAGAAAATCGCCTTTAAAGTTGTAAACAGAGCTCTCTGTGATGCTAAAACGAACCACATGAACCAAACTCACTCTTTGACTTTAGAAAAGGGCATGACAATAGACAAAGAGCAAACCTCAGACAAGAATGTAATTTTGACTAACCTAAATGATAGTGTGGACAGCTTTAGTCACTGCATCAGATTTGGCTAAATGCTGATGTTGTTTATGCATTGCTGTCATTAATGATTTTGGCCCTGCTTGTTTACAAATCATCTGTCATGGCACATCAGCCTCTGCTACGATCATGGCAACTGAGGTCTGTGTGAAATGAATCATGGGTGACACCAAAAAAGCAGCACTGGAAGTCAGAACAGCAGCTGATGCTTGACGAATTCGAATCCAGTTCCAACAGGTTCAAGCAAGGCCTCCATCCCAGCTGGGGGCTGGAAACCTCACTCGTGTACATTCTTTGGTCATCCACAATGATTCGTGATCTATCCTTATTCTGACAATAATCACATGCTCTCTACCAGTAACCTTTTCTCTCTCACTAATTGTCTTCTCTTAAAGGGTTTTCATGATTTTTGAAGGAGAGTGTGTGGTGAAACTGCACAGTCACTCTCTCAAGGACCCATCAAATGCCCACATACCCCTCTGTACATAGTGTACATGGTTACTGAGGTTTTATTTAAATTTTATTTCACAATGAAGAGCATTTGTGAGTCCATAGGGACGCTGAACTTGGCATTTCGCAGGGCGAAATGTCGCTTCTCAAGCTTCCTGGGAGGAATTAAATAGGTTTGGTTACATATCATTTTCAGCCATGGGAAGAAAATAAATCATACATTTACCAGAATATCGATATGAAAACAAGGAACGACGAACAAAATAAAACAAGCCGATGTTTAAATAGAGTTCGGAATGGTCAGCATGGTGTTGTGCCACGGGAGTGCTAAATGTCAAGTTTCTGTTTATACATGCTAGTTGTAATTTGAAAAGCGCTAGAGGACAGTGTTTGGGTAAAGTCCAGCTTGAAAGAATAATATGATAGACAATGACATTGTATAATGATAGAATATGAGAATATGATAGACAATGACACTCTTCATCCCTCCATCCAAATCCGCGAAAAGCACAACGTGGAAGACGTTCTCGTTTTAAAAGACTCGCTCTCAAACATTACCATAATAACCATCAAATCTCAGCCAAATTCATAACATTTGTGACCCTGGACCACAAAACCAGTCTTAAGTGTCAATTTTTCTGAAAAAAGCTGAATAAATAAGATTTCCATTGATGTATGGTTTGTTAGGATAGGACAACATTTGGTCGAGATACAACTATTTGAATATCTGGAATATGAGGGTGCAAAAAAAATCAAAATATTGAGAAAATCGCCTTTAAAGTTATCCAAATGAAGTCCTTAGCAATGCGTAGGCTATTACTAATAAAAAATTAAATTTTGATATATTTATGGTAGGAAATTTACAAAATATCTTCATGGAACATGATCTTTACTTCTATAATTTTGACCCATACAATGTATTTTTGGCTATTGCTACAAATATACTCCAGCAACATAAGACTGGTTTTGTGGTCCAGGGTCACATTTGTTCCACCAAAGATATTCAGCAAAGAAGTGTGCCAAATAACTCTGGTCCCATCTAAATTGTATTTTTGTGGAAACTATAGTTACTATATTTTCCTTTTTTATGTATTTATTTGTATAAGATGAAAATCATGATGTGCAAGACGTGGAATGGACTAAGCCATTTACTATGGTAACTACAGTTTCTACCAACATGCCATATATACAATTACTGTTGCCATAACTACTGTCATAAAACAGTATACACAAAATAACATGAAATCCAAATTTCAGCTATACTGAATTAACAACTGTAGCAAAAGGTCATTTTACTATAAGATGCAAATGTGAAAGTCAAAATCTTTATATTCGTCATCACATAGTTTCAATTAAATGCTGTTGGAAAACTAAACGACTCTTATCACACTTTTAATGAGTGGTCTATAAAAGTATATAAAGTAAAGGATTTGGCAGCTTGTGTGTGATTTGCTTGACCTCTCTGAATCCCTCCATACAGCTACCCCAATACACTTGGGTGGCTGTCCCCTACCTCTGCTCCCCTCACAACGTAATCTTTTATCATTCACACCACTCTGCCTCCATCCAAGTACAGGCCATGGTCCAGACTCCAATTAGTGGTCACACTAACAGGCGGAGATGATGCCTGCCCCTCAAATTACCCACAGCAGCATGTTTAAAGACTGCAAGGGGGGTATTGCTGCTGGCACACCGTGGGCTGATACCCAGGAGTCAGGCAACTCTGCTTTAATTAAAGGGTGAATTTGCATTTGTTTCTGCTGCTTGTGTTTCAGAAATGTATTTCAAATGGCAATGCCACCCAGTATTATGACCCTAGTGTATTCAGGTATGACGGCGGGACGGCATTGATGGACTATATGCAGAGCTCCAGGAGGGAAGCAGGGCTGTAATCTTCAAAAACATTTGTGGCTCAACTTTTTTTTTTTTGTATGATAGAATCAGTGTGCCATAACCTCCACAAACACTATATAGATCCTGCCCTTTTTGATTCTTATATGCTATTGTAATACTAGGACAGGGTTCCTCAAATGGAAACTGCAGGGGGTTTGTGAGTTGATGAAAAATGAATACTAAATTAAATGCAATGTAAAATAAAAATTAATAAATGGGGATCAAATTAATCGCAGTATAGCTTTTGCACACATATTTGCATTTTCCAATATTTTTGTGGACATTCCATTAGTATTCTGCCCAAATAAAATCTTGAAATGATAAAAGCTTGAAGGTTTGAGTGTTTGAAAGTGAAGAATAAGACATTACTAGTATTCTAACTTGTAGTTTAAAAAGGTAAATTATAAAAAATGTTACAGTACAGTTGTAATTTACAGCAGTATTAAATGTCAGTCTTCCTTTTTATAATTAGAGTTAAAGTAATAATAAACATAATCAGTAATTATTAATATTAATGTGTTGTTAAATTATTAATCTAAAATCTCAGGGGGTACTTCAAGTAAAAATCTTATCCATAAGAGTGCGGCTGGCAAAAAAAAAAAAAAAAAAAAAAAATTTTTTTTTTTTTTTAAATAATTAAATTAATAATAATAAAATTAATAATCTTCAATAACAATATGAATTATTATTAGCCACTGTTTATTTTTTATGACATAAGTTGAAACATGATGGATGACAATGCCCAAAATTAAGTTCTTTTTCTACTTTGTCAATTTCGAAAATCCACAGCAGCGGGACAACAGTAGCGCCACTGTGCTCTTTAACATGTCTCCCTCTAGTGGATAAAAAATAGGTTTAACAACCTACTGGTGAACATAAAACGTCAAAGCAGTATTAATGTGGCCGACTAGCTAGTTTTCTCTCGGCAGAGCAGTAAACAGCTTAAAAATGGATGTGTTATTTAATTGAGCAGTGAATATTTCTTTGTTCTGGTCCATGGAATGTAAATGCAGAACCAGTGACAACAGAATGACACCAACCCAAAACTATTAGTTTTAGTAAAAAGGAGACGAATCTCTTACAAGTATCACGTGTACCACTTCAAAACAGTACAGGCATAACTGCCTGAACAAGCTTTACTGCAAACATATTTGTGCTATTGCAACTTTACAGCAAGTCACTTTGAATAAAAGTATCTGCGAAACTTTCAAGAATGGTCAGTATCTGTATTGTATTCAAAAGGCACTTCACAAAGTTTTCATACAAACTAGATGTGCTTTTGATGTCCAGTGGAATCCTAAGAAATGTTTGGCAATTTTTCAACAGAGCAACTTCCTCGTCTTGAATGTGTTGTGTAATTGTTGCCCTGTTTAAGTCGTCACTCCATGTGACAGACCTGAGCTCATAAAAACATCACACAAATTGCCTCTTGAGAATGTAAGAACAATGCTAAAAAAAATCGCATCTCCAAAGTGCTGAGACAAGAACTCATGACCACAGCGCAGCATATTTTCTTCTTTTCCTTGTTCCTGGTTAGTTAGAAAAGTAAACATAGCATTTCCTCTGTAGTGCGGCCCAGTGTTTCACCGAATGTTGAGAGTTTTTACGTTTTTAACACTGAATCTGTCAGTTCAGTATTCCATTGATCTCACGGCTGCTCGTCTCATCGTCATCTGTACCCATCAGCCCTCTGATGACCGCGAGACCTGAGGAGGAAGTAAGGGGTTTGTAGTAGGAATACAGGGAAAATAAGCACATAAAGATATAGTGTGAATAAGTATATTTACATATAAAATGCTTAGATGAAAGCTACAATTAAGCATACATTATTATTGCAAAATGCTAGCCAACATTGAGAGAGAAAAGAAAAATGTTAATGTAACATATTTAATAAATAAATGCTATTTAATTTAATTAATAAATGCATATTTAATAAATAAAATGCTGCTTTAGATTGAAATTGACTGTGAAAGGCATTATGCAAATATATTTTTAATTTCTTCATAATGTTACCCTATAAATAGAAAACTTTTCTGATAATATTCAAATAATTATTTTATTTTGGAAAACGTCTTTACATTATCAGAATCAGAATGAGCTTTATTGCCAGGTATGTTTACACATACGAGGAATTTGTTTTCGTGACAGAAGCTTCCACAGTGTAACAGAATGACAGTGACAGAACAAAAAACACAGATAATAAAAATAAAAAATAGAACAAGTAAAATAAGGAATAAAAAATATACAAATCGACAATCGACAATTGTATGTCCAGGTATAGAACAATAGACAGTTGTATGTACAGGTATATTATGTGCAAATTGAAATATAGACTGAGTATGTGTGTTAGATAAATAGCTGACGCTGATGGCTGCCTCCGTGGCGTGCTCCGCAGTTGTTTTTATGTTTTTGTTAGTTAGTTAGTTAGTTAATGATAATGTTAGTTATCATGCTGTCTTTACAATGGTCTCATCTAAAAAATCCTGCACATGAGGAATGTCAGTTTAAATAGTAAGGACAATTTAATACAACAACCATCACTCAGTACCACAGTATTTATCAAAGAACCATTAAAATAGAAAGAAAAAGTTTTTTAAATTTAGCCAACAGAATTTCCCTTTTACTCTGGTACATATCTGGCTTCCTCTGGAAATCTAGTTCCTCTTTTAATGTAGAACATTTATGAGCAGCTCTCATAAAATTTGTGTTAGCTGGCTGAGCCAGATTTGAGTGATTTAACAACAACACATTTTTTTATAGGTTTCCAAAAATTCCAAGACTCACGTCGGCGAATTGCGATGGGCCAGATGAGAATGGTAGAGAGACAGAGAGCTGCAACGCCAGCCACACCGCCGGTGACGATCACCATGACAGTGCGGTAAAACCATTTGCAGTCAGAGTCCAGTGTGCTGTAAATAAAGTGCAAAATAATGTGAGAAACTGTACAAGGCCAAGTTGAAATCTACATAAAACAATGAACAGTTACACTACACTACTTTCACACTACTGAAAACACATAGGCCAAATGTAACATACACAGTACAACAACCAGTGAACATTTGTCCTAAAATGAGACCAGTAGATTATCATAGCCACTGTGGATTCCAAATTGTATTCACAGACAAGAAGGGTATTTAAAGATGCTACATTCCCAGCAATTATGGTCAGGAGCCTGGAATTGGAATGGAAATGGAATTAAAGTGGAATGGAAATGCTGGATAGTACTCACTGACAGGGGTGTAAAGTCTGTATTATCATGACCCCAATTCCATTTGCCACCTTATCAGTGAAACTCATTGCACCATACACGAAAGCACCACTTTGCTGTAAAAAAAATAAAAATAAAATCATTAGCGCTATTGAAAAGTAGTTCTGAAGTGGATCCTTTAGGGCTCCAGACAGTTTTTTTTCTACGATATTGCTAAAATGACACATTTTGCTTACAGCCAAATCAACCTTACAAAAATACATATACAAGTCCTCCATCCATAATATTGCTTTTTCCAGAGAAAAAGTCGTCTAGTCTTAATCAGGAGAGAAATATGCACAGATCAAACACCATTCACAAGCAAAAAGTTAGTTAGTTAGTTAATGATAATGTTAGTTATCATGCTGTCTTTACAATGGTCTCATCTAAAAAATCCTGCACATGAGGAATGTCAGTTTAAATAGTAAGGACAATTTAATACAACAACCATCACTCAGTACCACAGTATTTATCAAAGAACCATTAAAATAGAAAGAAAAAGTTTTTTAAATTTAGCCAACAGAATTTCCCTTTTACTCTGGTACATATCTGGCTTCCTCTGGAAATCTAGTTCCTCTTTTAATGTAGAACAAAGATCAGCAGCTCTCATAAAATTTGTGTTAGCTGGCTGAGCCAGATTTGAGTGATTTAACAACAACACATTTTTTTATAGGTTTCCAAAAATTCCAAGACTCACGTCGGCGAATTGCGATGGGCCAGATGAGAATGGTAGAGAGACAGAGAGCTGCAACGCCAGCCACACCGCCGGTGACGATCACCATGACAGTGCGGTAAAACCATTTGCAGTCAGAGTCCAGTGTGCTGTAAATAAAGTGCAAAATAATGTGAGAAACTGTACAAGGCCAAGTTGAAATCTACATAAAACAATGAACAGTTACACTACACTACTTTCACACTACTGAAAACACATAGGCCAAATGTAACATACACAGTACAACAACCAGTGAACATTTGTCCTAAAATGAGACCAGTAGATTATCATAGCCACTGTGGATTCCAAATTGTATTCACAGACAAGAAGGGTATTTAAAGATGCTACATTCCCAGCAATTATGGTCAGGAGCCTGGAATTGGAATGGAAATGGAATTAAAGTGGAATGGAAATGCTGGATAGTACTCACTGACAGGGGTGTAAAGTCTGTATTATCATGACCCCAATTCCATTTGCCACCTTATCAGTGAAACTCATTGCACCATACACGAAAGCACCACTTTGCTGTAAAAAAAATAAAATAAAATCATTAGCGCTATTGAAAAGTAGTTCTGAAGTGGATCCTTTAGGGCTCCAGACAGTTTTTTTTCTACGATATTGCTAAAATGACACATTTTGCTTACAGCCAAATCAACCTTACAAAAATACATATTATACAAGTCCTCCATCCATAATATTGCTTTTTCCAGAGAAAAAGTCTTCTCGTCTTAATCAGGAGAGAAATATGCACAGATCAAACACCATTCACAAGCAAAAACAGTCCAAAACCTTATTGTGGATTTGTATCTTGCAACAATGCAGCTTTTCCCTTCACAAGACATTCATTGATGGACTGCAGTTGTGTGGATTATTGTGATGTTTCTTTCAGCTGTTTGGACTCTCATTCTGACGGCACCCATTCACTGCAGAGGATCCTTTAGTGAGCAAGTGATGTAATGCTAAATTTCTCCAAACTTGTTCCAATCAAGAAACAAACTACATCTAGATGGCCTTATGGTGAGTACAGTTTCAGCAAATTTCCATTTTTGGGTGAACTATTGCTTTAAAAAAAGTTCATAAACAGCCAAATCAACCTTACAAAAATACATATACAAGTCCTCCATCCATAATATTGCTTTTTCCAGAGAAAAAGTCGTCTAGTCTTAATCAGGAGAGAAATATGCACAGATCAAACACCATTCACAAGCAAAAACAGTCCAAAACCTTATTGTGGATTTGTATCTTGCAACAATGCAGCTTTTCCCTTCACAAGACATTCATTGATGGACTGCAGTTGTGTGGATTATTGTGATGTTTCTTTCAGCTGTTTGGACTCTCATTCTGACGGCACCCATTCACTGCAGAGGATCCTTTAGTGAGCAAGTGATGTAATGCTAAATTTCTCCAAACTTGTTCCAATCAAGAAACAAACTACATCTAGATGGCCTTATGGTGAGTACAGTTTCAGCAAATTTCCATTTTTGGGTGAACTATTGCTTTAAAAAAAGTTCATAAGTTATTTGTTAGCTAATTATAGGCATTACCGCTTGTGCTGTGTTCATTGCTGCAAAGAAACACTTTGGGAGCCCTGCATATTTTATTTGAAGTCTATTTGCTCAGGAATTGAAGTCAGTCCAATTTAAAATTCCAACTTGCTCAGAATTCGTAAACAAGACCGAACTAAGCTGTTTACCAACCAATTACTTGTATTAATTGCATCTGATGTGTGCAAAGCCCCTCAAAAATAGGTTTATAAGTTATCACTTGTTATCTTCACATACTCTTTGATCTCCGATCAGATTGGCAGTCATGGACAGTGACATGACCAGAATGACAGCAGATCCGGCTCCCAGCAGCACGGCGGCTCCGTAAACCCGTGGACCCATGTTTGTGTCCACCAAAACCCAAAAGGAAAACACCATTATGGGCACAAGACCTACAAAATAGGTAATCTGCAAAGGCAGAAATGAAATATGAGGCATTTTGATTTACAGTATGTTGAACCTGTGAGAGAAACCGTGAACACTTACAGAGGCGCCGATCCATTTGTTAACAGGCTTCATAAGCAGAGAAGACACAAGCCCACTGACATACATGACCAGGGGAATAGTTGCAATGTAGTTCTGCAAAAAAAAAAGAGAAGATATTCTGCTTAATTTTACATCTGCTTTATTGTGCCAGTACATACCTGGCCAAACCAGCTTCACTGTACACATGTGGTTTTGTAATTAAAAGTACAAATACACTGTGTTAATGTTAGTTTCAATGAAAGTCAATGTCAAGAAATGAAAGTCAATGAGCTCCATTGTTCCGTTGGATCCCTTTGCCTTTCATTGCATGGACAAAAACAAAAACTTCTTCTTTTGTGTTCCACACAGTGTTATTTTAGTTTTATTTATACACCGTTATAGTGTTTATTCATATTTTGACATTTAAAATTTTTTTTTTTTTAGATATTTAGTTTTCATTTTAGTTTACATTTTTATAATTTTGTTATGTGCTTACCGTTATAGTGTTTATTCATATTTTGATATTTAAAAAATTTTTTTTTTAGATATTTAGTTTTCATTTTAGTTTACATTTTTATAATTTTGTTATGTGCTTTTGTCATTTTTGCGGTATATACCATATATTTCCATTTAGCTTAATTTTTTTTGCAACTCAAACTTATTTTATTTTTTTATGTAGCTGCCAAGGCAACATTTCTAATCTATACGTTTTTTAGGGTTAATTTTTTTTCAACTTTTTTCATTTCTAATAGTTTTAAAGTAAATGATGATTATGATTTTTTTTTCCATGTAACATTCTTATGGTTACTGGGTTTTGATGTTCCACCCAAAAAACTTTTTATGAGTTTGTACTGTTAAGTGTCATGTTTCTCACCTTTGGAAGTGATACGGAGTTTATCAGATACATCGGGATGTATATTTGGGACAAATTTACTATCAGTCTTGTGCACATATATAGTATGGCAACCTGGAGGAGGAAAACAAACATAGCTTTATTGTCAATGAACAGATACTGTGAAATATTTCATTATTAGATGGACATTTACTTGTTCGTAGTGTACATAATAAAGGCTGAATTTGTATGTCTGTGTGTGTTGTTCATGGTAAAACTGAGAGATCTCCATGAGATCACCTGATAGAAGGCAGGCTCGACGAGCCAGTGTTTCCATTGGAGCAGGGGTCCGGAGCTCTGGAAAGAGCTGGGGATTGCAGTCTCTTCACTCTCCAGAGGTTGGTCTCTTTCCTCCTTAGTGCCCATGTGAAAGATGACGGAGGTAACGGTACCGATGGCCCACATTATGAGTGCCAGATACTGTCACAATAAAGATAAAGCAGATATTACAAGGACATTAAAATAGTAGATGATATTTAGAAGAATGTTGGTAACTAAACAGTTTCCATTCCTATTGGCTTTGAAGCTGATGGGAACGGAAACAGTTTGATTAACCAAAATTGTTAAAAATATCTTCTTTTATTATTTTCCACAGAATAAAGTCAGTCATACAAGTTTGGAACAACAGAATTTTCATTTTGGGGAGGATGATTCTTTTAACTCTGATTGTACATGTTTTCAGCTTGATAGACATCGTAAGTACTGAACCTTTCAATTTGATCTCCAAATTGGGTATATATATATATATATATTTGCATTTACTCACTCTGAATGTGGGAACATCAACCCAGCCCAGATTCTGGGAAATCGATGGGTCTTCTGTATGTTGGGATTGGAAGTGGAACAAGAGCCAAGCCACAGCATATACCGCAATGTTTGCCACCACTGTGAAAGCATACCTGTTCAGGAAAGCAAAAAATTTTTTGTTCATCAATAACAAAGTTAAATAAGGCCACAAATTGACTTCCACTAAAGTCAGAGTTTAGTTTAAAGTCACAATGAAACGTAAGTTAGTGGCTGTTCTTCCGTATTCTGACATACATCTGAATGCAGCAGATTATCGAAAAGAAAAATGTAGGGAGGTGGTTCTATCCATCGATTGTTGATTGGATGGAGGCAGATTTGAATGCAGTCGATTGTAAGAAGGGAGCAGGATTTAAGCAGACTAAATGATTGGAGAAGTCTGGCATACATCACCAGAGAGAAACTATAGTTTTTAACAGAAGATTGAGTTATGACATTTTGATTTAAAATATTACCAGGTCAAAAAATTAAACATGCATGGATGAATGGTTAAAATAAGATCAATAACATTCATTTAAAAAAAATAGCTATGGAGATTTTTCATTTCATTCTGACTTTTAAATGAGGAAACTGTTTTGTTTTTTCAAGACAAAATATGTCTAATTGTGTCACTGAATAAGACCTTTAAGTTTGACAACACGTCTACATTATTGGTCTACATTGTTTTTTTCACTTGAGAAGGTAGTGATACCTGTATGATGTTAGTTCCACTTTGGCGTGCTCGCATGTGACCAGCTCAGGAATGAGCGACAGGTGGGATATCTGGGTAGCAGCCCAGCCAAATTGGAAGATGATGATGAATGGGATGATGTAAATCAGTCCTGTGGTCTGTGGGGTGTTCTCATCACATCCAATGCAGGGGTTGAATATGAAGGGAAAGGAGGCAAATACGCTTATTGTTCCTGGGAGGAAATGGACAGTAAACTGAACATTTAAGTGCTGTGAAATTATTACAGTCAGGAGGGGACATCATCTGGACCTTTTCTACAGCATGACGCAAATTAATTTTGCAAAGATTGACCATTTGTAGTGTTGGCTGCATTTGTAGCCTAATGCTTGTTAACCAAGTTATTGTGAGAAAAACAAAAATAGAAAACAAATGTTTTTCTTTCATTTATGGTAAATATTTTAAAGAACAAACATTTAATAAATATTTAAAGTGGTAAAGTATAACTATAACTCAACCCAACCCTTGGTCCCAAACTAGTGAGGTGCTACTAAATGACAGCTTAAGGCTAAATTTGCAAACCTGTTCCCTATTCTTACATTTTTATAATTTTTTTACATAGTTTTGTCAGCTTAAAATATTTGCCTATGGATGTAAAACGCCAAACACAAACACACACAAAATTAAAAATTAAAAATTACATACCACATACACACAGAAAACAAAACAAAATTTAGTTTGAATTCCTGAACTTGAATTACTACTTGTTGGTTGAAACGCTTCCGTTTTTAAGTTTCAAGGCTTTATTTTGTACCCTATTCGAGGAAAGTGCATCTGACAGTTCCCTGACTACAGCTGACGAGCGTCCGTCTGATTTCCCGTTTACTTTGAATATGAATCTTCCGTCTGACGGAATCCACGGCTGCACTTACTTCATGTCTTTAGCGGTAGTTTGCAGGGATTTTAAGGGGTTTAGGCGCGATACATCTCCTACAGATTATTGTAAAGCACAAAATTAAAAATTAAAAATTACATACCACATACACACAGAAAACAAAACAAAATTTAGTTTGAATTCCTGAACTTGAATTACTACTTGTTGGTTGAAACACTTCCGTTTTTAAGTTTCAAGGCTTTATTTTGTACCCTATTCGAGGAAAGTGCATCTGACAGTTCCCTGACTAGCTGACGAGCGTCCGTCTGATTTCCCGTTTACTTTGAATATGAATCTTCCGTCTGACGGAATCCACGGCTGCACTTACTTCATGTCTTTAGCGGTAGTTTGCAGGGATTTTAAGGGGTTTAGGCGGAATACATCTCCTACAGATTATTGTAAAGCACCACGGAAACTACATGAGACAGAAAAAAAAAATCAAAGAACGCGCGCTCTTCCACACACCGCTTGATACAGCTCATTTATTTACGTTACAAACACAGGTACAAGTTTGAATTCACACTCTTACCCACTAAATGCCAGGTCTTTCTTTTCCCATACTTTCCACATCCTGACGTCCGATCGGATTCGTAACCGACGAGCGGAGTGCAGATCCCGTCCGCGACCTGCCCGACCAGCAGCAGCGCACCTGCGTTCTTATCATTGAAACCGAGAACCGAGTGATAATACACCAGTAAATACGTGAACCACATAGACGCGCAGAGGTCGTTGAAGAAATGTCCCGCGGCGTACGTCAGTCGCCTGCACACGGGTAAAGTTACCGGCTGATCGGACATTGTGTGAATGAAGGAAACAGTAAACGGCTCGTGCAGCCTGAAAGAAAGAGCGACTCTCTTGCGCGCAGCTACCAATGAGTCAAACGACTGAAATGAACTCTGAATCCCATTGAAAACGATCAGAAGGATGCTTTAGTTTTGAAGTAAACGTGAAATGGTTTCTGCCATTGATCGTTTGCATCCAGCAGTGGCTGTTTTCGGTTTTAATTGTCCATCTCACACCCACGCTATCCAGGGAAAGGGGATGTTACTATGAAATGCTTTTAATAGACAGCACATGCCCTCTTTTAAAGGAGGAAAGGAAAAGATACCAACGTATAGCCCTATACACACACACACACACACACACACATATATATATATATATATATATACAGCACTGTGCAAAAGTCTAAGGCCATTAGTATTTTCACCAACAAAAATTTATTTTAAGTCAGTTATTTATTTCTATCTTTTGCTGTGTCAGTAGGAAATATCAGTTTGCATTTCCAAACATTTCTTTTGCCATTAATTGTAATAATCCAGTTAGATTTTTGTATGTTTAGGAGTCTGACGACAGCCAGTGCTGCACACAAGAGATCTGATCTCACCATCATCAAGTCTGTCTGGAATGACATAAAAACATAAAAAACCGAGACAGACTAAATCCAGAAGAACTGTGGCAACGTCTCCAAGACACGTGAAGAAACATACCTGCAAATACCTGAAAAACTATGCACAAGTGCACCTAGGACAAAAGCTGTTTGAAACGCAATGGTCGGTCACACCAAATGTCGATTTGATTTAGTTAATAGAAGTCAACTGATGAATAAAATCTATTCATAAAATTATTTTTGAAAGCATCCTCACTTTACAGCATGTTTACACAAGTGCCTAAAACTTTGCAGGTAGGTTTCTTCAAGTGTCTTGGAGACGTTGCCACGGTTCTTCTGGATTTAGTCTGCCTCAGTTTTTTCTGTTTCTTCATATAATCCCCGATGGACTGGATGATGGTGAGATCAGATCTCTGTGTGGAGCACTGGCTGTTGTCAGACTCCTTGTGCAAACAAAATTCTCATTGGATTATTACAATTAATGTAAAATAAACATTATTACAATAAATGTAAACTGATATTTCCTACTGATACACTACAGCAAAAGATAGAAATAACTGACTTAAAACCATTTTTTTGTTGGTGAAAATACCAATGGCCTATAAACCTTTTTTATATATATATATACACATATGTGCATACATGTAATACATATGTACACACACACACACATATAAGCAATACAAATAATTTAAAAGCAATAAAAATGCAATCAAGTCATAAATAAATATCTTTAATACATTAATCCATGGCCTGTTGCTGAGTCAAGTTTTGGCATTAGCGGAGGAATAAACATAAGCAAACAGCATAAATATGTTTTAGTAAAACAAATCAATTTTGTTCTGCATGTAACCAATAAAAGGAAAAAGGATGGATTTAAGTGCACAAAGTAAAAACTGTGAGAACTAAGTAATATGTAGTAACATGATTATAATTTTACAATGGACCTCTACAACTCTGAATGTTTTTCTACATTGAAACAGACAAAGAGATGTTAGAGTTCCTAAAATACAAATGCCGAATCTATTAACCCTAATGTGTTAATAAATGACTAAACCAATCGCCTGATAACTATTCTTTTTTTAAACCTCACAAGATCTGATGCACACAGGTGACTCTGAACATTATCTTGTGGTCATATGATATGTGACAATACCACAGACACGTGGCCATAAGACATTCATCATAATGATATGTCACTTAGCATTTAAAATAAAACTGTGAGAAGTAATATGTAGTAACATGATTATAATTTTACAATGGACCTCTACAACTCTGAATGTTTTTCTACATTGAAACAGACAAATAGATGTTAGAGTTCCTAAAATACAAATGCCGAATCTATTAACCCTAATGTGTTAATAAATTACTAAACCAATCGCCTGATAACTATTCTTTTTTTAAACCTCACAAGATCTGATGCACACAGGTGACTCTGAACATTATCTTGTGGTCATATGATATGTGACAATACCACAGACACGTGGCCATAAGACATTCATCATAATGATATGTCACTTAGCATTTAAAATACACCAAGTACTAAATGGGTCTAATATGAATGATCTGGTAATTCATTGGAACTGCAGGTAAATTAATGAGTCAGCAGCTTATGAAGTGCAAATCCTGATTGGCCCACAGAGCCCTAACCTCAACCCCATCAAACACTTTTAGGATGAACTGGAATGGAGATTGCTAGCCAGGCCTTCTCATCCATCATCAGTGCCTGACCTCACAAATGCTCTACTGGATGAATGGGCGAAAATTTGCACCAAACTCCATATTAATGTCCATGTATTTAGAATGCAATGTCATTGAAGTCCCTGTTGGTGGATACACACACACACACACACACACACGCACACACACACACACGCACACGCAATCAAAAAAACTAATCAAAAAATTAAATTACAGGGAAAAAAAAGACTCCAGAGTCTGGTTGAGATGAAATGTGTCCTGTTATTTTGTAATTTGGTGGGGGTCATTCCCAGTGCAGCGGCGACTCCTGCCCTCATGTTTTTAATCACAAATAAGATCTATTTCTAAGGAAACTTAAATCATCTGTTCACTGATGTAACGTCCCCTGATCAATGAACGATAAACGCTCTGCATGGAAACTAGCATACACCAACTGTTTCAAACAGCATCTTTTCACACCACTGTGGTCTTATATCATCAATTAATCTCATATCATCTTCTTTTCATCGTTTTGAGTGTTTAAGTGTGATTTTTTTTTTTTTTTTACACATCTTCTTATGTTTCTTCATTTATTTTCTTTTTTTGAAGGAACCAGAGTCTGTTGGACTGTTAACAACATTCCTTTGAACTCCATTAAGTGTTGAAGCATCAATGAAAGAAAGTGTGATGGGGACAGAGAGAAAGAGAGAGAAAGACAGAGAAAGAGATAGAGAGAGAAAGAGAGAAAGACAGAGAAAGAGATCTGTGTATTTGCTTGCATTTCAAACTTAACAGTGACCAGAATGTTTCAAGTTCTTTTCAAAGAGTGCGCTTCACTTGTGCCTCTGAAGAGTTTTCCTCTTTCTTCTCTTAAAAAAACAACAGCACCTGAAAGAAAATCAGAGCAAAATTTAATACAGACCAATATATATATAATTCAAATGTCTTAAGCGGAATAAGGTTAAAAACTGAAGAGCGCTGCGGCATAATGAGGAACATTAAAGCAGTAAAGGGACATTCATATAGCAATTTGCAGTGACAAAATGAGTAATTCATAAATAATTCATTTTCAATTAGAATTGATGAGCTACAGTGATTTTACAGTGATTAATTTGTCTGTTATGATTCATAACCACCCACATACAGGGATAATATAAAACAAATAAAATAATGAATGAAAAAGTGTCAGTGATTAATATGATGCATTATTCTCTGTAATTTGTATACAAATGCTTTTACCTGCAGAATGTAATTTTTTTAACAGAATGAAAACTGATTTGTTATTTTAGGAACACAACTGGGGGACTTCCAGTGATAATAAACTTACTTTGTGTCTTCTGCCACCTCTACCTCAGCGGGTGCAGTGATGGGAGCGTTGGAGTGTCCCGCGGTTGGGTCGTCTGTGTTCAGCTCTCCATTCGTGGAGCTCATGACCTGAAGATCACACAGACAGAAACAATAAAAACATGTCATGCAATGCCCAAGAACTGAATTATTTACTCCAGTGTGTGACATTAGAAAGTCACAATTCACACTCTAAAGAAACGAATGTGTCCTGTAATAGGTAATTGAAAACTGTGAATTGTAAATATTAAAGATATGAGATTGATATAACCAAAAGAGCACACTTCTTTCAGAGTATGTAAAATAATCTAATAAAACACATGTACTGACTGCTATTTCATCAAAATAACATTTGATACAGATGAAACACCAAATAAAATACTTCCTAAAAAACGTCTTTCAACCACAACAATCATCCTTAAAAATTATACACATATATTGAAAAAGGGAGGAAGCACAGTATACAATGAATATGTGATCATTCAAATTAGTCATTAATGATCTTTTTTTTTTTAGGTAGAAAACATGTGACTACACTGCAACATTCCTGTTTTAAAAAGAGTTTTTTTGGGCCTGTCTCATATTCAACCCCTAATAGTCATTTTGTAAAATTTGTAACTGGAAAATAAAAGCGTTTTTCTTATACACTACTTATACACTATTGTAAGGTTAGGGATCTATACGATTTTTAAAAAGAAATTTATATTTTTATTCCACTAGGCTTCATTACATTTATCAAAATTGACAGCAAAGATGTTTATCAGCATATTAGAATGATTTCTAAAGAATAATGTGACTGGGGTAATGACTGCTGAAAATTCAGCTTTGCCAAAGGAATAAATTTAAACTATATTCAAATTTCATAATATAACTGTCTTTACTGCATTTCTGATTAAATAAATGCAGCCTTGTTGAGCATAGGAAACTTTTAAAAAACATAAAAAATAAATATATCCCAAACTTTTGAATGGTAGTGTATAACACAACGGTGAAAAACTGAAAATAAACCAAAATAAATTTTCTTGGTTCCAGAACTAAAATAAAATTAAATCTAGAAAAAATTATTTTAATTTCAA